TCAAAAAAGAAAATTCGATCTGTGACAGATATTCTCGCCGGAGAGTTGGCGAAGAGGGCCACAAGGTCTATCATTAAGGAGGTGCAAGACAAGGCGGGGGGTTTGTCGGTTGACTAGCCTTCTTCTAAATCTGTCACGCCTTGCCGCAAATACTCTGGAAAAAGAGATCTGCTGATCAAACTCTGATCCCGCCAAGGGGGTAAAGGTGATGAGGACTGAGCCAACTGAGTCTGGGCAGTCAGCGGACAACGATTGTTATGACATGGATGGTTTCTCTGATGACTTTGGTGACGGCGAGGTGATGGTGATAGGTACCCCAAGCGAGGAAAGGGTTATTATGACTGCGAGTGCCAAAGAACCTTCTTCATCCGTCGAGATCCCCTTGACCAGGGCGTTGAACTGTCAGAAAGGGATCTCAATACAAGTATCCCTAAGCCAGTTCTGAATGTGGTGATGCTAGAACAAATAAACTACCAACAAGTTGTGGAATGCACGCAAGTAATCATTGGTCGTGTTTTGGCGATTCAAGAAGTGGCCCTTGCTGCCGGTCATCGTTGCTCTACGCAGGATGATCGCCTGGCTCAAATGGGGCGCAAGGATGAAGATTTGACCGCCGAAGTAGGCCGACTCGGAAAAGAGGTTCATGACTTGCGGACCGCCAACAAATCTTTGCAGAATAGTAATGAATTACTAAGGAAGGACAATGAGGAGGTTGAATGCCTGTCTCAGGAAAAAGACAACTTGTCTAAGTATTTGGACAAGCCTGTCGCGGAGAAAAACAACCTTCAACAAGCAAAAGACGAGTTAATCGTCGAGTTGGCCAACGTGCAAGGGGATCTGCGGGCCTCCAAAGAGGATTTGGAGCAGTCTGTTGGGCGAGTGAAAGAGCTGGAGACTGCCTTGGCCTAGGTTTTCTACGAGTCTTTCAACAATGCCCTTCGTCAAGTCTTGCTTCGTCATCCTGAGGTGGATGTTGCTGGCCTCAGCCTCAAATATGTGGTGGAGGGCAACTGATTGGTTTATCGGATCTCAGACGAGGAGGCGGTAGTGTTTGAGGAGGCCCCCGAGACTGAGGAGGAGGGGGATGATGTGAGGGAGGACCACCCTCCTGGCGATGTTACTGAGCCAGACTTGGCGGGGGAGTTCGCTGGTGTTACTTCGTCTGCTCAGGGGGTGGAAGATGGTGGTGGGGATTTCGTTGCCCTAGGTTACATCCGAACAAGCTCCTTCAACTGAGAAAGCGGCGACTCGTGTGGTGGATCGCCAAGCTTAGTTTAGTTTTACTCCTGTTTTTTCCTTTTTCTTATGGTTGGTATGTCAACCATAATCTTCTTCTTCTTTTTCGAATTACAAGTATAAACCCTAAACCACCAACGCCCTCTCTCACTAAAATACACAAACCAAGTATAGTTCAAACACATGTCGAACTCACCTGAAGATTCAGAGGATTCAGAAGAACTGAAAGTGTAGAAGTCCGAGTAGCTGAGGGGGGAAGGCCACCACGAGGGTGGCACCTTGTAAAGCCCCAGATCTTCGGCGATATCATCCCACACGCCATAGCGTACCAGCCGAGCATCTTCTGGATGATACCTACCCAACCGGTTGTCAGACATCTCGTCATATTTGCGGCGGTGGAAAGATTTAGGAACTGGAGGAATATGGCCATAAGATGTGCACAAGGCGACATGCGATTCAACAGTCGGATGAATTATTTGTAAAGGGCGAGGCTGGTAATACAAGTCTAAAGGGAGGTTTTAAGACTCTCGGTTAATAGAGGATAAAGGGCGAATAAGTCACCCCACACCAAAAGCAGAGCGTCGCGAATAACAGCGATGCGAGCCAGACCTATGGTGATAAGGAGAATGACCAGAACAACAGAAGCGCCTCTGTTGAGGAGGACACTGCCCACCACCATTTTGAGATCTGCCAGACCGACGTCTATTAGATCTAGAAGTCCTCCCTCCAGGCGTTGCCCTACGTCCAACATGAAAACCAGACCTAGAAGCCTTGCCAGAATACGGAATCACAAGTCCTAAAGCCCTCTCGGCCAAGAGGTTTTGGATCTCTCCCTCACTGAAGCCTAGAAGCTCAGGTATCCTGCCATAAAGGTAAGGACTCAACCCCTGGGATAAACGAACGGCGAGAGGAAGCACTACTACCTTCACCAGCAAGGCTAGCGAGGAATGCCTGCATACCCTCCCCCACAACACAACCATCAAGTGCCTCAAACGCTTCCTCAAACTCCTCCTCTTTAACAACCACCTCCAACTGAGGCAGGATCTCACTAGTCAGGTCACCCAACTTAACCATCGCAAGAAAGGGAAAAAGGAGAACCGAAAAGCCAAAGAAAAACAAAAGAAATAAAGAAGTCACAAATACAAAACAGTCACAAGCTAGTAACACTATACCTGCAGCAACGAAGACGATGGGAAGTAGGAAGAAGAGATGAGGAAAAAACTGGTACAACGCTCGCACATAAAAGATTAAACTAGAAGAGAGAAGCTAAGAACGCAGAGAGCAAAGAGTAGCGAAGAAGATAACAAAGAGGGGAAAAACCCTTTTAAATAGAACCTCAGATGTAACATCCCTCGTACACATGTAGCGTTCCTCAAGTGCCAATCGTGTAATGGAGCAACCGTTGGACAATAAACGGCCCAGATAAAGGGCCCCTTAGTAATTGTGGCATGACAAGGCATCCCTCATGTCATTTTTAATGCGTCGCGTTTCGCGACGTTAGGGTGTTCGCAAGTTAATAGCAATCATTGGTTACCTGTTGCCTTGCTAACAGTTATGCAAGTAATGCGCGCAAGTTATACGCGACAACAAGTAATATAGGGCTTTAGTGAGTCCCAGTTATCGTTCCCACAAGGATCTTTTCGTTCTAACTTGAAATAAATTGGTAATTGCTATCAGAACTAAAAATAAAAAAATCAAATTAATTGCTATGACTATTTTAAACTAATGTACTGAAAGTGTTTTTGTGGAGAGTTTCTCTTTTTAAAACAGTGAACTTAGTTGGTGAAAGGATCCTTTGAACTATAGCCTAGAAAAAAGAACTTAATTAAAAGACTTGTAAAATATTTTTTTTAATGATTTTCTTTTAAGTTTTGAAACAGACAAATAATTTCAGATTTGGATAAAAATAACAAGTGACAAAAATTGGTTTTAAAATAGAGTTTGGAAGTGAGTTGGGTGTCAATTTCCCCTTCCCTCATTTGTCATTAGGATGCTTTAACAAAGAACAAAAATTGCTCTCAGCTTAACGAAAATATTAAGGTAATTGTTGTTTCCCAACAACAGTTTTCTTCCACTGACAACAGTTGGCATATCCCTATGTCACTGTTGTCATAGGATCTTGAAGAACCATTTTCACAAGTTACATGGGGGTAACTTCATCCCTGAAGCCATACCCATTGAGAGAGATTTTTCTCTCAACTTTCCATGTGCTCACAGTGGGGTCTAGTCTGAGTTATTTCCCAATAATCTCACACCACTAAGAGCTGACTATGTGTGATCATCACATAACAAACTCAGCAATAAACATGCACAGTAAACAAGCTGAAAAACAACCATGTAAACATTAAAACATCATCTAATAACAGTGAGTTCCGAGTACTTTTTCAACCCAACTCTCAGAAAAAATTAGCTCATCACCACAGGTTGATGAGCTAACATACAACAAGATTTCATAAAAACAGAAACTTTAAAATGTGCTGAAATTAAAAACTCAGGAACTATCAACAGTCGATAGTCCTGAAACAGTGATCATAAAAGATTACAAACAGAAAAATGCTAAGGAATGAAAAATAGAAAACCTAATTTTTTTCCCCAAAGAGCAGAAAAATAAAATTAAGCAAGAGAGGAAGAGAGAAAAGATAAAGATCCCCCTACAAATGCTTTTTTCCTTTTTTTATAGTTGACTCCTAAATCACCCCTCCAAACGTACGCTCCTTGCTCCTATCGATCGTGGATGTCCCTTGTACGATTCAGCAACGCATCACAAAAGCAGCTCCAGCCACTAACGACCTCCAGCTCATCACTTGTTTGGAGTTTTCTGAGTCATCAACCGAATCGGGTAGGGTTGTGTTGTGGGTTGGTTCGGTTCAAAAACTGGACCGTGATGGAAGGCTAAGGTTCTTTGTCTAGGATGAAAATCAGAGGGTGTTTCGGTTTATTTGCTCAATTCCAAGAAGAAACCGTGATGGATGGTGAGGGCTTGAGATGGATTTTACACGATGGTCTGTGCTAGGGCTTTTTCTTTTCTCTTTCTTCACGATTCTGATCTGTCTCTTGTTTCCATTTCTTTCTTTTTTTTCTTCTTTGCTTCTTTCCTCCTTCAGCCATTGATTGATTTAATTGCCTCTGGCCTAATTCTTTTCTTTCCTTACTTTGGGCGTTCGGGCTTCTGATCAGCAAGGGAATGGCCCAATTCTTGTTCATTCCTTTTTGCAAGGAAGAATTAACAACAATTGGGCCTGAAACACAAAAAAATCAACCCATTAACATTTTTAACCAACAAAAGACAATTTACACAAAGTTGGGGTATTTTCTTCCCAAAATCAATTCATTTCCCTTCATTTGCAATATAAACCGTATGTTCTAAGTCTCAATTAAGATCCTTTCACCAACTAAGTTCACTGTTTTAAAAAGAGAAACTCTCCACAAAAACACTTTCAGTACATTAGTTTAAAATAGTCATAGCAATTAATTTTTTTATTTTTTTTTATTTTTAGTTCTGATAGCAATTACCAATTTATTTCAAGTTAGAAAGCAAACATCCTTGTGGGAACGATAATTGGGACTCACTAAAGCCGTATATTACTTGTTGTCGCGTATACTTGCGCGCATTACTTGCATAACTATTAGCAAGGCAACATGCTTCTAAACTTGGTAAGATACCTCCTAAACTAGGAGACCCAGGAAGTTTTACAATCCCATGTACCATAGGAGGCCATTACATAGGCAGAACTTTGTGTGATTTAGGTGCTAGTATCAATTTAATGCCTCTGAGTGTGTACAAAAAGCTGAAGGTAGGAGAGCCAAATTCTACCACTGTCACCTTGCAGTTGGTTGATAGGTCCCTAGTTTATCCTGAAGGGAAAGTAGAGAATGTCTTGGTGAAGGTAGATAAGTTTATTCTCCCAGCTGATTTTATAATCTTAGACTATGAGGAAGACCGAGAGGTTCCAATTATTTTGGGAAGGGCTTTCTTAGCCACTGGTGGGGCTGTCATAGATGTAAAAGAGGGGGAGTTAGCAATGAATGTGAATGGAGAGCAAGTCAAGTTTAATATCTTGAAAGCCATGAAATATCCAAGGGATATAGAGGAGTGTTCTAGGATGGATATCATTGACTATGTGGTCAAAGATAAATTTTGCATGAGTCTTCATTAGACTCTTTACAAAATTCTGGTTTTGAGGGTCTAGAAATCAGTCAAACTGATTCTGAGGAAGTAGTTAAGTGGTTAAATTCTAGAACTGGTGTGGTTTGGAAAAATAAAAATTTTGAGTCCTTGGAATTAGCAAAGAGAGGGTTAAAACTTCCTAAACCCTCAATTGAAGAGCCACCTGTATTAGAACTCAAGCCTCTGCCTAATCACCTTAGGTATGCTTACTTAGGCGAAAAAGACACCTTACCTGTTATAGTGTCCAATCTGCTCACTGTGTTAGAGGAAGAACAGTTGCTGACTGTTTTAAAAAAATTTAAGAGGGCTATAGGTTGGTCTTTGGCAGACATAAAAGGAATTAACCCTTCCTATTGCACACATAAAATCCTTTTTACTGACCCAACCAGCAGCTCTAGAGAGCAGCAAAGAAGGCTTAACCCAATCATGAAGGAGGTAGTAAAAAAAGAAATTATTAAGTGGCTGGATGCTGGGATCATTTATCCCGTTTCTGACAGTAACTAGGTTAGCCCAGTACAGTGTGTCCCAAAAAAAGGGTGGGATCACTGTTGTGGAAAATGAAAAAAAAGAATTAATACCCACTAGAACTGTCACTGGTTGGAGGATCTTATGAACTACAGAAAACTCAACAAAGTCACTAGGAAAGACCATTTCCCCTTGCCTTTCATTGACCAAATGCTAGATAGATTTGCTGGTAAGGAATATTACTATTTTCTAGATGGCTATTCAGGGTACAATCAAATAGCCTTAGCCCCCGAGGACCAGCCAAAGACCACTTTTACTTGTCATATGGGCCTAAAGCAGTGAGAGCATACTATGCTCTCCCCAAGTCCAATAATGAATATAAGGTGTTTAAAAAGAAATCTGACCATCTTTTTTTGCAGTAAGTCTTGCTAACCATTGCTGTCCCGGGGACACAATGGGAGGTTAACAAAGAGAACCACACCATCTCTAAAAAATATTTGCTGGAAAAAGCCCAGGTGTGGTATCACTTTATCCGAGCAAGACTTTTTCCAACTTCCCATGTCCATTTAGTGACCAAAGATAGGGCTATTTTGCTGTGGTGTCTACTGACTGGAAAGAAAGTAGATGCAGCCCTTCTTATTCAAAAGGGAATTGGTGAGTGTGCATCCCATAGAAAAGGGAAGTTGTGGTATCCTAGTTTCATTATTGGTTTATGTAAATCCAAGGGTATGGTTGACAACCCTTCAGATAAAATGTGCCATGTCAAAGAGATGATAAACCTTGTTTGTATTTCTAAGCTAAAAAGGGGGATTAAAACAGTTTCTGAAAAGGAATTTGTGAAAGAGGTTTTGCATGCTGCACCTCAATCCACCCCAAATGTGTTAAAAAGGGGAAAATATGTTCTTAAGGAAGAACCTAAGAGCAGTAAAAAGAAAAGAGACAACAAAAGAGCTTCAAGTGAAGGTCCTTCGACCACACGTTATGAATCCCCCTCTCCTCCATCCCCTTTTAATGAAGAAGCTTATGCAGCCAGCCCCAAAATAGACTTTGCTCATCCAGGGTGGCTGCATAATGACCTCACATGGATGTACACCATGATGAAGGAGTTGAGGGAGGATTATAACAACACTGATTTGTTGTTTAAGAAATACTATGAGCAATTTTTTGGAGTTTCAAATGAACAAGTGAGGTTTTACACTTATGTTGCTGAGAGAGATAGAGTGATGAATGAATTTTTTAGAAACAATTTTGTTAATTTTCCTGGAATGCCTATTTTTCCTCATGGTCTCACTTTTCCTCCAGTTTCTATTTATACTGATCCACAGGTCCAGCAGCTATTTCAAGCTAGAGCTGAAGCTCAAAGAGCACAATCTGCTGAAGCCACACCTGCTGCTCAACCTACACACACTCTATCTTCAAGGAAAAGAGGAAGGCCACGTTCTAAGATTGAGCCCATTCTTGAGGAGATTGAGGAGACTGATGAGGAGGAAAAAATTCTCACCCCATCTGCTTCAGAGGAATCTGAAAAATCTGAGTCTGAGGACTCAGATTATATGAAGGATTAGGCCAGAACCTCTTCTATTTTTATGAAATCTTGCTGTATGTTAGCTCATCAACCATTGAAAACATACAACAAGATTTCATAAATACAGAAACTTTAAAATGAATTGAAAATAAAAACTCAGGCACTATCAACAGCCGATAGTCCTGAAACAGTGCTCATAAAAGATTACAAACAGAAAAATGCTAAGGAATGAAAAACAGAAAACCTAAATTTTTTTCCTAAAGAGCAGAAAAATAAAATTAAGCAAGAGAGGAAGAGAGAAAAGATAAAGATCCCCCTACAAATGCGTTTTTCCCTTTTTTATAGCTGACTCCTAAATCACCCCTCCAAACGTACGCTCCTTGCTCCAATCGATCGTGGGTGTCCTTTTTACGATTCAGCAACACATCACAAAAGCAGCTCCAGCCACTAACGACCTCTAGCTCATCCCTTGTTTGGAGTTTTCTGAGTCATCAATTGAATCAGGTAGGGTTGTGTTGTGGGTTGGTTCGGTTCAAAAACTGGATTGTGATGGAAGGCTAGGGTTCTTTGTCTAGGATGAAAATCAGAGGGTGTTTCGGTTTATTTGCTCGATTCCAAGAAGAAACCGTGACAGATGGTGAGGGCTTGGGATGGATTTTACACGATGGTCTGTGCTAGGGCTTTTTCTTTTCTCTTTCTTCACGATTCTGATCTGTCTCTTGTTTCCCTTTCTTTCTTTCTTTTCTTCTTTGCTTCTTTCCTCCTTGGGCCATTGATTGACTTAATTGCCTCCGTCCCAATTCTTTTCTTTCCTTACTTTGGGCGTTTCGGGCTTCTGATCAGCAAGGGAATGGCCCAATTCTTCTTCATTCCTTTTTGCAAGGAAGAATTAACAACAATTGGGCCTGAAACACAAAAAAATCAACCCATTAACATTTTTAACCAACAAAAGACAATTTACACAAAGTTGGGGTATTTTCTTCACAAAATCAATTCATTTCCCTTCATTTGCAATATAAATCGTATGTTCTAAGTCTCAATTAAGAGACTTATCACCCCCCCAAACTTAAATTGTTACTTGTCCTCAAGGAACAGGGAAAATTAGCACATGGATTTAGTAAATTAACCACTCTTCTCAACCAAAAAAAAATTTCAGTACATTATTCAAAGATACTCAGAACCAATCAGTGCATCATATTATCACAAAGAGCATGGAACAGAGGAGTGTACTAAGTTCAGCAATTAATCAATCACAAACCAGGCAGCTTGGTGATCCTTTTATTCCATAAAACTACTCAGCAAGCAGTGTGCAAAATTCAAATGCATGGGTGCCTCACTAACTGTTGAATAATGACAAAAGAGATCTTTGAAAATTCGTTTCTTAACACAACATGCAAATTTTTTCAAAAGGCAACAGAGATGGCAACTTTTCACATCCTCACTTAATCACAGAAATATTCAATCAATGCTTAAGGGTCCTGTTTCTCTCAATCCAACACTGGGAAAAGATGTAACATAGGCTTGCTAAGATGCTCTTGTCTTCCAAGTGACACACAGACCTAAGCTCAATCAAAAGGACTTGAATAGGTTTTAACTTGGCTAAGGTGAAGGTGGACAATTTGTGGGGACTTGGCTAACTTAGTTATAATGGAAAAGAAACACAATCCTGAAGCTTAGTCAATCAATACAGTGACTGCTATTTTGACTGCTATTTTTCTCTTTTTGACAACTTTTTCAAGAGCAATAACTCTTTTTTTTTCACAGCAATTTTCTCTTAAACCCTCTGAGTATTGCTCCAAATCTTTTTTTTTCTTTTTTTCTTTTTTTTTTTCTTATGAAACCAACTTTTCATTTATTAGCAGTCTCTTGCTTTCACTTCCTATAGCAGCCAACAACATCTTGCTTCTTTTTCCATTTCCATTGTAACTAAGAGGTGTGGTAGGTTGTGGGGCAGGGTGAAATGTGGGTATGTGAAAAGAAAAGGCTAAAGGCTCAAAATGGGTTTTCAATGGATGATGATCTAAGGATGGCTTTTTGGTTTAAAAGTGGTTAAACAAAACAAATTTTTTTTTGCCCTCATCATTTTAAACTCAAGCCAATGCTACACTTCTTCAACTAAGCATCAGAGTAAGTTCTGCCTCACTACCCCAGTGGAAACCTCTCAAAAAAACATTTGGGTGTATAGGCTCAATATCTCACAGTGTTGGTAAAGTCACCATCTCACATGCCTATTATTAAAACTCACACTTTGCATTAATCAGCTCAATTTCTCAATCTCTCACTGCCATTACCCCTCAACCATTAAAACACTCATGTCACTCTTCATTCACACAACTGCCATGAGTTCCTTTCTTTCTTCAAACTTTCAGCTGCCTAGTTGTGATACAGATCACTCGCTGCTAAATACCATACAATCCCCAATCGACTCTCATACTAAAACTTCCATTTCAGAAAACAACAAACAACTCCTAATCAAAACAGCAGATATATTCACAACAGCTCAAAACAGAAAATGAAACAGAAGAAAGAAAGGGAAAAAATGATTCTTAGAGCACACATGGTTCAATAAACATATTATTCTCCCCCAAACTTATCTTCAACAGTGTCCTCACTGTTGTAATGCCAGCCAGGTACCAAAAAATATGGCAAGTAAGAATAAGGTAACCTGGGGCCAGAAGAGGTTCTGGCCTAATCCTTCATATAATCTGAGTCCTCAGACTCAGATTTTTCAGATTCCTCCGAAGCAGATGGGGTGAGAATTTTGTCCTCCTCATCAGTCTCCTCAATCTCCTCAAGAATGGGCTCAATCTTAGAACGTGGCCTTCCTCTTTTCCTTGAAGATAGAGTGTGTGCAGGTTGAGCAGCAAGTGTGGCTTCAGCAGATGAAGCAGATTGTGCTCTTTGAGCTTCAGCTCTAGCTTGAAATAGCTGCTGGACCTGTGGATCAGTATAAATAGAAACTGGAGGAAAAGTGAGACCATGAGGAAAAATAGGCATTG